AGAAGAAGAGTTCCTCATATTGTATTTGTAATTTCTTTGTAAGTATGAGATTGCTTGTTTGTTTTTTGTTTTTGTTTTTTTTAGTCAGATTCTCACTCTATTGTCAGGTTGGAGTACAGTGGCACAATCTCGGCTCACTGCAACCTCTCCACCTCCTGGGTTCAAGTGATTCTCCTGCCTCAGCCTCCCAAGTGGCTGGGATTACAGGTACCCACCACTATGCCCGGCTAACTTTTGTATTTTTAGTAGTGACGGGGTTTCACCATGTTGGCCAGGATGGTCTTGATCTCTTGACTTCGTGATCTGCCCACCTTGGCCTCCCAAAGTGCTGGGATTGCAGGCGTGAGCCACCGCGCCTGGCCTAAAAATTTTTTTAACGATAAAGATGAGGATTAAATTATCAGTTCATATTTACAACGGACCCACTTCTTCCCACTTTGTCTGCCTTTTAAAAATTTAAGTACAATACTCATATTCTCTAGGTTAATATAGTCTTTAACTGGAACATATACAGAGGCAGAAATACATCTGTCCTCTTTTCACAGCTGAAAGATGGACAGTGTAGTAACTTTATTGTCATGGTATTTAAATCTATAGAAAAATTATCAAATAGGTTTGAATAAAGATGAAGTCATATCTCAAAGATAAAAAATACACAGCAAACACATGATAAAGAAAACTTGACAAGGTACCACAGACAGAAATCTAGAGGAAAGATTTAGCTGGAAATTAGTAACAGTGCCACTGAGAAACCATCTCTTATATAAGGGCATGCCCTAATCCAATGTTTTGTTTTGTTTTGTTTTTAATCCCTGGAGTGCAAATGGCGCAGTCTTGGCTCACTGCAACCTCTGACTCCTGGGTTCAAGCAATTCTGTTGCCTCAGCCTCCCAAGTAGCTGTGACTACAGGAAGGCATGCCACCGTGCCCAGCCAATTTTTGTATTTTTAGCAGAGATGGGGTTTCACCATGTTGACCAGGTTGGTCTCAAACTCCTGACCTCATGATCCACCTGCCTCAGACTCCCAAAGTGCTGGGATTACAGGTGAGAGCCATGGCGCCCAGCCCAATCCTGTTCTCTATCTCTCTCTCTAGCCATGTGGCTGAATTACTGCAACAGCTTCCTTGATAGTTTTCTTGCCTCCCTTAATGCTGTATAATATTGCCACACTCTTTCTGGCAGTGTGTTGTTAATTTTTTGTATTTTGTGTGAGAGATCAGAGTTTATAACTCAAATCAGTCTTCCTGAAAACTTGAGGATCAGAGGTTTTTTTTTTTTTTTTTTTTTTTGAGACGGAGTCTCACTCTGTCGCACAGGCTGGAGTGTTGTGGTGGTGTGATCCTGGCTCACTGCAACCTCTGCCTCCTGAGTTCAAGTGATTCTCCTGCCTCAGGCTCCTGAGTAGCTAGGATTACAGGTGTGTGCCACCACGCCCAGCTAATTTTTTGTATTTTTAGTAGAGACAGGGTTTCACGATGTTGGTCAGGCTGGTCTCGAACTCTTGACCTTGTGAACCACCTGCCTCGGCCTCCCAAAGTGTTGGGATTACAGGCGTGAGCCACTGTGCCCAGCCTGAAAGATTATTTCTAATTTATGACTTTCTCAAAAAATGGCATTTGGTTAAAATAAGATTCTTATTATTGTTATTTTTGAGATGGAGTCTCACACTGTTGCCCAGGCTGTAGTGCAGTGGTGCGATCTCAGTTCACTGCAATCTCTGCCTCCCAAGTTCAAGCAATTCTCCTGCCTCAGCCTCCCAAGTAGCTGGGACTACAGGCGTATGCCACCAAGCCCAGCTAATTTTTTTGTATTTTTAGTAGAGACGGGGTTTCACCATGTTGGTCAGGATGGTCTGAATCTCCTGACCTTGTGATCCGCCTGCCTCAGCCTTGTTATTATTATTTTTGAGAAAGAGTCTTGCTCTGTTGCCCAGGCTGGAGTGAAGTGGCTCAATCTAAGCTCACTGCAACCTCCACTTCCTGGGTTCAAGCGATTCTCCTGACTCAGCCTCCTGAGTAGCTGGGACTACAGGTGTGCACCACCACATCTGACTATTTTTTTTGTATTTTTAGCAGAGACAGGGTTTCACCATGTTGGCAAGGCTGGTCTTGGTCTTAAACTTCCAACCTCATGTGATCTGCCCACCTCTGCCTCCCAAAATGCTGGGATTACGGCATGAGCCACTGCCCCAGTCAAAATAACAGATTATTAATGCAATGTCTTTTTTATTACCTGGAACTGGCATTTAGTTTTAATGATATGCTGTTTACTATTTAATTCCCTACTGTAAGCTACATTTGAACCAACAGACAAGATGAGCTTAGGCATGCTCAATGAAATGATTCAATGCTGGTTTATTCTGCGGTAAGTGATGGAGAACTCCAGAACATTCTGAAGCAGTCAAACATAAAAAAATAATTATCCTACATATCATATAGCTACAAGGGGCATTCAATTGGCAGGTAAGATAAGTTTCTTTGCTTCAAGTCAGCCTAAAGCTTTTTAGATTCAGAAATAGCCTGGCAAACACATTAAATGTAAGATATTATAACAGATTAGCAAATTTTGATTGATTAATGGTTGCTACTAGGTTTTCTTCATTTCTTATTTCTATAAGTGATCCTTTTCTTGTCAATAGAATAAGCCTGCAAAAACCCTCTGCTGGTCAAAGTGACAAAGTATTGCCAAAACCTTTAAAAACAGAGGTCTTTATGGTTCTTTTTTTTTCTTGTTTTTATAAGACAGAGCCTTGCTCTGTTAGCCAGGCTGGAGTGCATTGGCTTGATCTCTGCTCACTGCAACCTCCTCCTCCCAGGTTCAAGCAATTCTCCTGCCTCAGTCTCCTAAGTAGCTGGGATTACAGGCACTCACCACCAGGCCTGGCTAATTTTTTTTTGTATTTTTAGTAAAGATGAAGTTTTACCATGCTGGCCATGCTGTTCTCAGACTCCTTGCCTTCCAAAGGGCTGGGATTACAGGCGTGAGCCACCGCACCTGGCCTTTATAGTTCTTAACAGCTTGACAATTCAGTACTGTGAATAAGAGAACAGACTTCCATTGCCTCATCATTATGTAATTTTTTTGAACAACGATTATTCCAGTGGATATCGAGTCAATATGGAAAGCTTGAATTGACTCAGAGAGCTTTAAATCTGATCTCCTAGAAAATTAAGAATTATTTTTCATTCAAATGGAAATAAGGTTATGATATCTCTGGTACACATTCAGCTAAAATTTATTTCCAGTTTCTACCTCCTTAGCCCTATGCAAAAGAATGACACTCTCTTTGCTAAGAGACACTGAGAAATTAAGCGTTAAGCCCAATATTAATGTGATAACCAAGTCAGGAAAAATACTGTCAATAATCTCAGTTACTGATTAAAAGGAACTATTTTTATATCAAGTTGTAGTTTACAAGAAGGAGGTATACATCAACAAACACCTGATAATTATTAAGGACGCATTCCCTTTAGCCAGCTTCTTCACAATGAACATGCTTATTGTATCCTTTCTCTGTATCATCTAGAATGGCTCATTTGAGTTCAGAGGATACAAGTTTGGTAACTGAAATGACCATCAAGAACTTACCAGGCTTATTTCTTGTGGGAGGGAGTTACTTTTAAAAATCCCTTAAAGGAGAGGTGGGCATGATGGCTCATGCCTGTTAATTCTAGCACTTTGGGAGGCCAAGGTGGGCAGATCACGAGGTCAAGAGATGAAAACAACCTGGCCAACAAGGTGAAACCCCGTCGCTACTAAAAATAAAAAAATTAGGTGCGTGCGGTGGCACATGCCTGTAGTCCCAGCTACTTGGTAGGCTGAGGAAGAAGAATCGCTTGAACCCGGGAGGCAGAGGTTGCAGTGAGCCGAGATTGCGCCACTGCACTCCAGCCTGGGTGACAGAGCAAGACTATGCCTCAAAAAAAAAAAAAAAAAAAAAAAAAATCCTTAAAGGAGATAAAATAAGAGTTGTTTTATACTTCCTAGAGTTCTCTCACAATTTTTTTTCTTTTAATGTTAGTGGGTACTAGTACCCTTCTAACAACATGCCAACTGTTCCATGAGAGGGTGAAAAAGGTTTCACTGCATTTTAAAAGATTAGGTAGGTTACTCAGATACCCTTTGTATAAAAACAAAGTGAAACATTTACCAATCTGCAAGAATTGCCAAAATCTATCAGAATGAATGACAAACACAAGTACACAACTGAAGGCTGTTATGTTCTTCAGTTGATATTTTCCTAAAAGGTAAGAAAAATTTGCTTCTTTATTTTTATTTTTTTGAAATGGAGTCTTGCTCTGTAGCCCAGGCTGGAGTACAGTGGTGCAATTTCAGCTCACTGCAACCTCCGCCTCCCAGGTCCCGGGTCAAGCAATTCTCCTACCTCAGCCTCCCAAGTAGCTGGGATTACAGGTACAAGCCACCATGCCCACCTAATTTGTGTGTGTTTTAGTAGAGACGGGGTTTCACCACATTGGCCAGTCTGGTCTTGAACTCCTGACCTCGTGATCTGCCCACCTTGGCCTCCCAAAGTGCTGGGATTACAGGTGTGAGCCACGGAGCCTGGCCAAATTTGCTTCTTTATTACTTAAGACAGTTCCTTGGAGGCTTGGTGAAAACTGAGCCAAAATTAACTTTTCTGCCTCTTTTTAAACCAATGTACCATTTAAAAATCTTTCTGAGTCAGTAACTGGATTCCTAAAGGCAATCACTCCCACTTGTTTTTTTTTTTTTTTTTTTTTTTTAAGGGAAGAGAGTCCTGATATGTTGTCTAGGCTGGTCTTGAACTCCTGGCCTTAAGCAATCCCAAGTAGCTGGAATTATAGGCACAAGCCACCATGCCTAGCTGCAATCCCGTTTTTTGAGAGACCAAGGAAGTATCTTGGAAAACAAGGATAAGCTAATCTGATAAGACTGAAAAAGAATTAGAGAGAAAACAATAATTACAACAAAAATATCCTACAACAAAAATGCTGTAGGATATAATGAACAAACATACCTCCTGGGCTGCGACCGGCATTCTTCCTCCCCACTGTCTGCCTCCTGTATAGACAGAAAATGAAGAAAAAAAATTTTAAACCTGAGGTTTCATATCATAGTATCACTAATACAATTTTACTAAGTTTCACATGTTGTATATTTGAACTACATTACTCATGTTGTATACTTGAACTAAATTCTCTTCATAAAAAATGACTTCAACCAACCCAGGAGGTTGATGGCAATAGAATTTATTCCTGGAGGTAACTTCAACAACAGTCCATGAACAAATTTCATTGACAATGAAGTGATATTCATTAAAAGAATTACCTCTGAAAACCAACTAAACATGTTATTTTACTGTTACACTACTTCAGCTTCAAAATGAGTGGACATTCTGACTACCATCAATAAATGTCATCAAGATAACCTAGTAATGATTCTGATCCCCAAAGAACAACCTAAACAAAGAACACCACTTAAAAGACAGTGCTCATGATCAAATCACCATCACCATCAACATAATGGCTACCATTTACTGAGTACTTACAATATGCTAGGCATTATGTTCATCAATTTATTTTATTTTTATTTATTTATTGACACAGAGTCTTGCTCTGTCGCCCAGGCTGGAGTGCAGTGACATGATCTCGCCTCACTGCAATCTCCGCCTCCCAGGTTCAAGCGATTCTCCTCACTTAGCCTCCCCAGTAGCTGGGATTACAGGCCTGTGCCACCACGCTCAGTTAATTTTTGTATTTTCAGTAGAGACAGGGTTTCACCATGTTTGCCAGGCTGGTCTAGAACCCCTGACCTCATGATCTGCCCGCCTCAGCCCCTCAAAGTGCTGGGATTACAGGCATGAGCCACCTTGCCCAGCTGTGTTCTTTGATTTAAGTATATTACTCTACTTATTCCTTATAAACCCAGAAAGTTATATTTTAAAATTAATCCTAGTACATAGAATAACATAGGATAAATCAACATGATATAAAAGCACTTGGTTAGCAACCCTCCCAGGGATGCCAAACGATGACAACGAAAAGCACTGAATTATAGTTCAATTACAATATTTATTTATTCTTAGTGTGGCACATAAAATAATAGAAAGTCTTACAGCTTATGGCAACTTAGACTCAATGAATATTTTACAGATGAAGAAACAAAAGGGAAATAAGTGGTCCAAGGAGACCCATGTGGTGAAGAATTAAAACGAAAAAATACTGACTCCCAACTAGCTTTAAAAACTTACCATTTACCTCTTTCTGGCCTTGGTTAAAAATTAGTATATGTTATGATACAGATCTTTACAGAGGCAAGAATTTTGACATGAAGGAAAAGTAAGGAAAGATGGAGAGACTTTTTCTTTAAATTTGTTCCCTGACAATTTGTATTTGTTCTCTCATCACTTTTGCCCTATCTGGAAAACACAGAACTATTAGGTAGAAGGAGAAAAATAATCTCAGAGAATATGTGTACTGTCTGCCAACGAGCCACCTGCATTTTCTAGTTTATGAAGCCATCCTCATCTACCTTTACATCATTCTGTCTCCATTCCTGGGCAGCCAAGGCTAGCTCTATAACTCATTCCCATGTTACTTTCATTATTGATTTCAAACATGTCTCTCTCTCTCTTCCCTGCCACCCCCCCCCAACAAAGGAATAACAAAACAAAGATTCTGCTCCCAGAGGGATTACAGATAGAAAGTGTCATAGTGTATTACATTCTTTGCATATAGGAGAGAGGTTTTAAGTTAGAAAGTATACCCTTTAGAGACTGAAAAGAAAGATTTAAAATGGGAAAGAACTGTCTCTTGACTCAAACATCAGAACCTGGAAAGTTTGCAAGAATGAAAATGAAAAGGCTCAGATAAACAAATGTAAATGTTAGATTTTTGTGCTCAAAGGAACTGTAGTAAATAGAAATGATTTCCTGGAATATCATTTAACAAACAGTGCTTCAGTATTGTTTTTATTAATAGATCTCAAATTATAATGTAGTCTTCTCATTTTCTTTTTTAGACATTATCTTGCTCTGTCGCCCAGGCTGGAGTGTAGTGATGCGATCTCGGCTCACTGCAACCTCCACCTCCCAGGTCCAAGCAATTCTTCAGTCTCAGCCTCCCGAGTAGCTGGGACTACAGGCACCCCCCACCACACCTGGCTAAATTTTGTACTTTTTAGTAGAGATGGGGTTTCGCCATGTTGGCCAGGCTGGTCCTGAACTCCTGACCTCAGGTGATCTGCCCTCCTCAGCCTCACAAAGTGCTGAGATTACAGGCGTGAGCCACTGCACCCGGCCACATTATTTTTTACTTGTATTAAATGTAAGAATATGTTTAACATACGAGTTATGAGGTACAAAATGAATACCTATGAATACCATTCCACCTAAGAGCTATAATACTACCAGTACTGATGTTTCTACCTGTTTGCCTCTTATCTCCCATTCCTCTTTCCATTATGTGACTACTATCCCAAAGTCTATACTTTTTTTGTTTTCACCTAATTTTATTTAAAAAATTTCAAACACAAAATTGAAAGACCTTATAGTGAACTTGTATATCTGCCATCTAGATTGTATCATTAATATTTTCTATAATTTTTTTTTTTTTT